TTGTGTGAATCTTAAAAACAGTGTCATCATTGCCAGACCTGGCCCACACCTGTCTGCTGTGTGGGCGTTAATGTGTTTTTACAGTGAAGTTTTGGAGAATGTGACTGATTTGCATAAATAATTTACACACCCATTTTTAATATATATATAAAAGGTTTTTTTTCATTATAAACCAAACAGTTTTTTGTTAGGTCAGCTCTCATTTTTTTTTATAAACCAAAGAAAGTCAAGTGAGAATTATTTTGTTTGAAACACGTTAATGCCAAGTCTTCGTGGTGTTTTTCGCGCGTTTTATTATTGATGCTGCTGCCGACTCTGGCCTCGTCAGACTCACTTAACATTCAGTGGTCATCAGCGGCACAACCGTCAGCAGAAATGTTGCGAGTCGATTTGATTTAGTTGCTGATTATTTCTATCGCAAAGTACAGTGATGGGTGACAGAAAGCACACTCCTCTTTTAGGTCTAAAACTAATGAAGTCTAACCTCAAGTGTACAAAAGTGTCATTTCTTAAACAAAAGCAAAAAAAGATGTGTATGAAAACTAACATTTTTTAAGTTTTCTTGCTCTTCTGAGTCTTTAGAAGCTTGTTAGTCACTCATTCATACAAATCAGGTGTGTCAAAGCAGGAAAACATCTAAAACATGCAGGACAGTGTTCCTCTGCTGGGAACCACTGCTCCAGAACTTGCACTCATTGGCAAGTTGACAGATCTTAAATGTTTTCATGTTAGTAACCAGTTTGCTGCAGAATGATGAACTTGGTCACRAGTGACCTTGTTTAAAAACAAAGGTGATGTAACGCAGTGGTAAACATGCCCCTGCCCCAACTTTTTACAAATGTGGGGGCAATTCACACTTAAAAATCAATTCATACACAAGCAATTCAACCAGTGTGTTCTCAGGCTGGATAAGTATCGATAACGACTCACTACTGGATCTGTGAGCACTGAAATTATACAGTTACCAAATCCATCCAGTCGTTCCTTAAAACTGAACATCTTAAAAGTGCTTTAAATGTGGAAACACCCACGGCTACAAACATTTGACTGGCACTTCCTGAGAAGAGTTCTCATTGCATCATTATATGCAACATGCAGCTTCTGCATGCTGCATTAATTAATATTATGATTTACTTGCAAACACAGAAACTAAAAGAAAATCTATGAGGGTTGTACATTTCTGAACCAAATATAACCAGAATGCACGTTGCTGATGTCTTTCCTCCTTGGCGTTGTGTTAACACACACCTGTACGCTCCAGAGCAGCAAACTCCTGCGTTTATAGAGATGAACATGACGTTAAAGATCAGCTAAACAACACATGAGGTGAACCTGAACCTCCTAAACCCTATGAAGGCAGTAAAGGTGGTTAATTCGGTAAAAGTCAAATCTTTTTAACTTGATATATAAAACATTAAAATTACCAAAAATAAAARKGCTTTCTGTTTTCCATGGCTGCAGYTGACATCTGTTTGCCTGTTGCAGTGATCGGTTGGGTTTGTTGGGGTAAAATCTTCCCCTTGTTGCTTGTAGATTATTCATTCCCTGCACTGTTTGGAGACGCGCTGTTTGGCAGCGTTCCCAAGGCAGCTGGCGTCTCCTCCGTCATCGCGGAGCCAACATAATCTCACATTTTGTTGTGTGGCGTTGTGATGAAAGTCGTCATTGCGACGCAGCCTTTCAGCGCTCAGATTTAGGGCTTATATGGATTATTGCTACCATGCTTTTGTATTTGTTCGTTTTTTTTATTTCCAAGTCTCGTGTTAAAATGCACATCTCTAACACTGAGCGTTGGTGTTTCAGATGTGTGTATTTCATCTGATCATGCTAACAAAAGCATCAAAACACTGGAACGCCTTTTAATGTGAAAAAGCATCAATTTGTGGATAAAAACATGCTATATTCAGCTGTAGGTAGAGGTGGTGCTGAGAAAAATAATGGTGTTATTTTTAAACATGTAAACAAACCCCCTGCAAGACAGGAAAGACTTGATCAGACCAACCGAATGGCTGATAACAATTTGATTATTGTTAAAGGTTGGTACAATGGTACAGTGATTAGAGCTGTCGCCTCACAGGGAAAAGGTTGTAGGTTCACCTCCCAGCCTTTCTRGATGGAGTTTAACATGTTCTCTCTGTGCATGTGTGGGTTTTCTCCGGGTACTCTGGTTTCGCCGGAAATGAAGTAATGTGTTGCTAAACGAGACACTGCACTCCTGTGTCAATCAAACAAGAGCCTCTCATGCAGGTACTATTAATGCAGAAGATGTTTACGGAAATAAACTGAACATTACTTCAAGTCTTTTTAAGTGGGGTCCTGTGATTTTATTTTTGTGAGCAGTCAGTGTCTTACCTGCAATAATAATCATTGATGGAAGTCAAGTTAAAGTCTAGTCCAGGTGTGACCAAGATTAAAGTAATTTACTGCCATCTTAAAATAACTTTCGTCTAACATAAATCTTGGCATTTTATTTTACTTGTGTTTTTATAAACTTTTACACATATCATGTTATTTATATATTACTTATCATTATAATTTATATGAAAAGCTGCAGTTCATAGTAGTGGTTCACATGAAACAAGGATGGTAAATATAACCAGGCAAAGCAAAATCTAAAAGCTGTTCTTGAGTTTAAAGCTGTGATTGATTAGTTGTGCCTGGATTTGAGTCAAAAGTCTCAGAACACCCTTTTGTTCCGGAAAGAAAAGGGGAAAATGAAACATCCGAATACCCCAGCAAAAAACAAGTGAGGGTTCTATCTTTTAGACCATGTCCAGAACATGGCCGCCATCTTGGATCAAAATAAAAAGGGTGTCTTGTTACTTTTGACTCAACCTGTATAACATCCTGAGACTCAGCATCCTAATGTTGAGGACATTGGCTTTAGACCAGCTGTCCTTATTCAAAGGGATTAGAAACGAATTTTGGTTTTAGATTTAAAATAAAACAAATACAGTGAGGTGCGAAAGTTTGGGCAGCCTTGTTAAATTTCCTGATTTATCTTTATAAATCATTGATTGTTTGGATAAAAAAATACCAGTTAAATATATCATGCAGGGGACAAACAGTGATATTTGAGAGGTGAAATGAAGTTTATATGATTTACAGAAAGTGTGCA